AGAAGGGGGAATGAGTGTGTGTATCATACCGTCACCTGAACCGCCTTGGTCAGCTTTCTGATCCGCAACTTGTGGCTCTCAAACAGCCGCTGGTAGTGCTTTCGGTGCTCCGCGTGAGCTTGTAAAGCTCGTGAACGTCTGACTGACGATTTCCCAATCAGTCGATCCCCCTCCAGAATGAATTCATGGTCGATTCTTTCGGCCTCCAGGCGCAGACGGCTATACTCGGATCGGGCATTCTTGAGATTGGCGCGAAGGGACTTGAGTTCTGGGGCTGCGTTGATGTCAGAAAAGATCTTCTTTCAAGCGGAAGAAGAGCGCATACTGGTCATGTCAAATGCTTTATCTCTGGGAGGAGGCATCGAGAGAGAGAGAGAGGGAGGGAGTTAGTGTGTGTGTGTGTGTGTGTGTGTGTGTGTATCTATGCTGGAATTTGAAGTCTAAGGAAGGACGTGTATGGGAGAAGGGTGTAAGTGAGTGTTGGGAAGGCAGGGCTGGAGATCCTTCTGGGGTAGCGAGTAAACAGTATAGAATCGCTTCAGGTTCACCTTCACAATAACTATTCTGTACCAAAGGGAATTGCAGACATTAATGATGTGAGTGAAAAATCAATTCAATTATCCCCCCAAAAAAGTAAAGGGTTTGGTCTCATTTCAAGTATTATTGAATTATTATCTGGGACTGCTGCAGAAATACTTCCGCAAGGACAGCTCTGTACAACGGTGAATTGCAGACGTCAAAAGAAAGGATGTAGTCTCATTCAAAGTATTATTGAATAATTATCTGGGACTACTACAGAACCACTTCTACAAGGGCAGCTCTGTACAACGGTGAATTGTAGACGTCAGAGGGCGCGTCTGGTGACTCGCTCAAAGTCTGGTTTCGAAGGTGTTTTCGGTTCGTAACTGACCGAATCATCGTCTGGTATAAGGAATTTTAGAAATAGAAACCCCCAATGAAGCTTTTCGAAACCTCGAAGCTCTTTTTTCGGGAATAGATCCTGCAAATAAAGCATTTCCTGTTTCTAGTGACCTCCCACCCAGTACCAAGTGTCTACCAAGAATCGACTCGTAGTAAAGTAAGGATTTGTTTTGAAATCTTGATTCGGAAGAAGCAAAGGAGAATATACCTTAAATTCCGATCGGGGTTATGTTTGTTTTTACTTGGAAAGTAAGAAGAGGCAGATCCGACGACGAACTGAAATATATCAAAGATACCTAGTACGTATTAAAGTAAAGTGAGACGAACGATCCTCAGCATTGCGAAATAAATATAATCTCGAAACCAGACCTTGAAAGAGAGTTAATCGCCAGTTAATCGCCGGTTCCCTTGAGATTAGTGGCAAAAAATCCCGACCGGGGGTAACCGGCGATTACCATACGAGGTCGGAGATAAAATCGCATTGTCGATTTTATTAATGAAACGAACTTGAATATTCCAATGTCATGTTTTCGATTCGAGGATTTTATGGTCTCCGATTTACCAGGCGCCCCTTGAGAATGCTATAATTAGGAAAGTTATGCCATAATTCAAAACGGAGCTTAGATATGTTGTTAAAAATTATTATGTAACACAGGGCTTGGACTTGCTAAATGAGAAAGTATCGTCCAAAATAGAGCTTACAAATGTCAAAAAGAAAGTATCTTTTAAAACAGAGCTTAGACACTTTAAAAAGAAAGTGTACGGGTATTTTGAGATCGCCCGCTTGGGTATCACGGGAGGAAAGTAAATATGCGAGGAGATGTGGACTAGTCTATTTCATCTGTAAGAGAGTCTGTCTGAGCTGAATTTATCTACGTTCCTGCTCGAGTGACGGCTGGGTAAGGTCTGAGTAGCAGAGATGTATCGGAGTCCTCCGACTCGGGATAGGGAAGCGATATGTGCAGAAGGAGAGGCGATAGTGGTGTCGGTAAATAAGGCGCTGGCAGGTAAATAAACGATAGAAAGGTAGAAATGCTGTTTGCGAGAAGAGGAATCACAGCTGCATATCGACCAGGAGGCCTTTGTAGTGGCCCGAGTGTCCAATTCCAATACTATTGACTTTATTTAATCTATGGAAAGAGGGCTGTGGTGACTGAGCCATGATGATGACCGAGGGCAAGCTGTCATCTAATGAGCATCACATCGTGTTTTTTTCTCCGGAATCTGGTTTATCCGCGTAAAAGGGGCATTTGCACAAGGACAGCCGCTGCCACGGCATATTCCGTATACCAACATGCGGTTGGCGGCTTCGTATGTTTCACGCTTTGCATTGTACCCCAAATAGTTCGGATGGTAGAGTCCCTACCGATATTTATGGAGAAACCACCCCTGAAAACCTATGGTCGATTCCACCTTGCCGAGCAGCTTGTAGGGGGCGTTTGAAAGAACATTGGATGATGGAAATGTTCGGACGGTCGGTCGGTTGGTCGGTCGGTCGGTCGGTCAGTCATGTGTGGTTAGGTAGGTGGTACTGGTATGTGATCACAACTGCGGTGCTTAATCATTGTCGAACAGCGCACGTTGAAAAGATGAGGGAAAAAGAAAACAAAGAAAACAAAGAAAAAACTAAAATCAAGTACCGATCAGATGGCCGGCTAACCGCCAACTATCCACTGGTCGAATTGCGCATTTGCCTTTACCCTTTGCCTTTGATCTGCGTAGCCAAGTTCAACTCCTTCGCGGGTTAATTAAGCCAAGTCCAGGGGGCGCTTGGATGGGTCACGTGCCGCCGGTCCCAGAGTACAGACGGAGTATCGATCATCCCCTTCACCTTTCACATCCTTTCTCTCCTGATCAACACCACCATCTCCACCACCTCCACCACCTCCACCACCTCCATCACCACCAATCAACCCCACTCAGATCGCTCGCGATTCAGTTCAGCCGCTGAGCTTCAGCGTGGCTATGTCAAATCAGACTCCAGAGGCTCCATAAGACCAGTTTCACGTAGATTTTTGAATCCCGGGCTGATTAAGCTGGCGAACTGTTTCATTACACATACTTTCCGCAAGAAAGGCGCTTTAATAAGGGATCGGCAAAATCTTGACCTCCCTCGTATGACGGTATGGGGCCGTAGTGGTGTGCGATTTACTACTACCTATCACTGCTCGGCCTACTACTCTATCTTCTGTCCCAGACCGAGCCTGTATTTGGCTTTTGTCGAATCTCTTGTCGCTCTCTTGGCTTCTCTCTATGTCGGGATAGCTCCACTACTATTCCACCACCACCACCCCCCCCCAACCATTTTTCCATGACTTTATTGAGTTTGAATTATATTGCCAGCAATTAAGTGCGACTAAGGTGCACTGGTTAAGGTTATGCCAATACCATTTGATGTTTCTTCCATAGCATCTCAACCAACTTGCCTGGCCAGTGGCCAAGAAGAGGCTCTCAGTTCTGGGGGACATGTTCCCCCTTTACTCATGCGTATATATATATTCATGGTTTCCTGTCTACAAGAATCTTTTTCCCCAGACCTTTCAATCACTTCTCCAGCTTTGATAGCTGTTCTTACCTTTATTTCAGTTTTTAACAGAACTTTCGTTGAATTTACCTCTTCAGACATTCGCTACTGATTTTCACGACATCATCATCATGAAGTTTCACGTGCTCACCCTGGGCTTACTTGCGTCTCTGGCACAAGCAAAGCCTTCAAGACGTTCCACCATTCAGAAGAGAGCCTCCATCACTGATGTAAGTAACCTGCCTGGCTATCAATTAGTAATCCTGCAACATCTGCTCACACATCGTCTAGGTCGGTACTGGATTCGCATCTCTGAACGGTGGAACAACCGGAGGAGGAAGCGCAACACCAGTCACAGTTTCCGACTATGCTGGACTAGTAGCAGCTGTGGCGGGTGTTGAGCCCAAGGTTGTTATCATCACCGGGCCCATTGAGCACTCGGGTGAGCCTGTCAACATTGGCAGTCACACCACGCTCGTGGGTGCCGACAGCTCCGTCGTCCTGACCGGCTTTGGACTGCTCATCAGAGAGAACAAGAACGTCATCGTCCGTAACATCGCAGTCGCCAAGGTTCCTGCCACGAACGGTGACGCAGTTGGCATGCAGTACGCTGAGAACGTCTGGCTAGACCACATGGACCTTTCCGGCGACATGAACAGCGAGAAGGACTTCTACGACGGACTGTGCGATATCACTCGCAAGTCTTCGTATGTGACCCTCTCGAACTCTTATATCCACAACCACTGGAAGGGATCTCTGATCGGTCACTCTGACGACAACGCTGCCGAGGATACCGGCTTCCTCAAGGTCACTCAGAACAACAACTACTGGCAAAACGTCGGCTCCCGCACTCCATCTCTGCGATTCGGACAGGCCCACATCTACAACTCGTACTTCGAAGCCACGGATGATGGAATCAACGTCAGACAGGGTGCTCAGGTCCTCGTCGAGTCCAACGTCTTCGATGGAACCGAGAAGCCACTCTACAGTGTTGACCAAGGAGGTGCTGTTGAGAGCGACAACGTCTGGGGCGCCGGAGAGAACACCGTGCCCGCCGGAACTTTGACCACTGTTGAATACCCGTACGAGTTGCTGGGCAGTGGTTCGGTTATCGCCAGCGTTGTAGGAACTGCCGGCAACACCCTCACCTTTGCCACAGACGGAACTGTCACGGGAGCCCCACCTCGCAAGGGCAACGAGACAGATACTTATGCACCACCAGGAGGCTACACTCCAGTCACACCCCCACCCGAATACCCCGAGGGCAATGTACCAACTACCCTTGTGACCAGCGCGGCCCCGGCAAAGACTGAGCCCCCCACCGAGGGATACGAGCCAACTCCTCCCAAGACCGAAGAGGGGAAGAAAGAGAAGCCGGTTCCTG